CTTAGCGCAGTCATCTTCCGCTACGTCCAATCTCAATCAAACAGCCACCACCAACAGCTACCACCACGGGACACGTCACTCCGCCGCACCTCGCACGCCGCCGTCTTAACACCGCCATCTTCATACCTGGCCCTGCAACCACGTGATGTAGTTGCTACGACCAATCACCTACCTTTAGCTCCCCTACCACCAATACGTAGCCGTCCCCATGCCGCCACGTATCATGCCACCATGTAGCATAAAGCCATCTTAACGTAGCCATCTGCCATCTTGCCGTTACGGTCAATCACCTGCCCTCAGCGTTCTACCACTAACACGCAACCGCCCCCATGCCACTTCTTGCGCGCCACCACCCAGCTCAAGAACTCTTCAGAGTCAACAGAGAAGCTAATGACCACAAGGCGGACCCTCAAGTTGGATGGACGCTAGCCATCCGAGCCAATTCCGGCGTAGAACCGGTCTAACTTATCTACTGATTTGTCCTTTTACCCATTATTGAAAATATAAAATGTAATTGTGGTATGACTGGTGGACTCAGTGGATACACTTTTTTACACGGCGCATCCCATTATTATTTAACTTGTGAAGATGACAAATAAAATAATTCAAGCACTAGTTGTTTTTACTTTTATGCGTACACATTTTTAAAGTTATTTATTTATTATGTAGCGGGGAATTCGTTCCAAAATATGTAAAAAGTGTAAAAAAAATTGGTATTTTACACGGGATTGAATCAGCAGTTCCGCCAGATGCAAATGGCAATCCCGAACGTTTTAATAAAATTACTGATGTCGGAGTCTTCGTCTTCTCAAGAACATGTTGGTGGTATTAATAATAATGAAGGCAATGTTAATTGAAACGTGAAAACTAATAAAACTATAGAAACCTGTGAAAATACAGCATCTTGCGGTAAAGATTTAAATATCCAACATAATAATAATAATTACGAAATTACCGAAAATTGAAAATTTATATTTAAAAAAAAAACAAAATCAAACGTTGATATTAATTTTGAAATTGCAAAATCCCTCAAACGCCCAAATGGTACCGAGAGAAAATGAAACATACAGGGTGGGCCACCAGTAACGCCTCGGTCGCTAGTGACCAAACGGCAAATGTTATAGAAATCTGTTTAGGTGGGTATGTGTAGGTTAATTACGGCTACATTTTAAAAATATTTTGAAATATACAGAGTGTCTAGGAAAAGAGTACCATATCAAAGTTATGTTTTTTTAAATGGAGCACCCTGTATTTTACTGCATTTTTGAAAGCACCGTAAAAAAAGGTTCTGCATACCTAGGACTTACAGTTTGTGAGATATTTAAATTTTAGTGAAAATGCAGGCATAGCGTAGAAATTTAATATTAGCAATAAAAAAATAATTTTAAGGAAGCAGCTTTGGAGGGTCTATTTTAGATCCTTGAAGTTATAAATTGTTATATTTGTCGTCACTTAGTATTATACAGGGTGTTCAAAAAACTGCTGAATACTTCTCTCAACTTTAAACAGCAATAACTTGGTTATTTTAAATGGAACACCCAGTATATTTTTACTTTGAGAGTTAGGAAATTTAAAACTCTTTCAAACTGTATATAGGTTTCCTATACCTATCTCCAACGGTATTGGAGATATTTGTGCCGTTTCGTTTTTTATCGATTTTTTTTGTAAGATGTATCCACGTGTCTCTATCGAGGTCTTTACTGAATTGGTTTGGGTTCTTCTTGATGACGTCTCTGTAAATATAAGGAGAAAAATGTGAATGCAAATACATGGCACACCTGCACATTTTTCATATTCAGTGAGAAATTATATAAATCGATAATTAAGTAATAAATGAGTAGGTAAGAATGGTTCATGTCAGTGGCTACCACAGGTGTCCAAACCTCTCGTAATGGACTTCTTTGTTTCGGGCTGTATAAAAATATATCTTGTACACAGTGTTCCACCTACTACTTGCGATGATATGAAGGAAAGGATTAGATATGCATTTGCCACAATCACCCCAAATATTCTAAGGAATGTGAGAATATCATTTGAAGATAGAATAAGATGCTGTATTCAAGAGAATGGTTATCAATTCGAACATCTATTAAAATTTTTCTTTGTTTCTTCTAAAAGTAAAATTTTCTTTAATAAATATTTTTCATGTTCATAAATAATTCAGTTACTTACTACAAACATATTTATACAAAATTAATAACTTTTTATAATTATTCGGCTTATAAAATAATATTTTTTATTAGAAAACTTTTTTGAATATTTTCATGATAATGATAAAAGGAACTTTTACTTTTAGAAAAAACAAAGAAAAATTTTAATTGATGTTCGAATTGATAACCATTCTCCTGAATACAGCATCTTATTCTATCTTCAAATGATATTCTCACGCAAATGCATCTCTAATCCTTCCCTCCAATATCATCGCAAGTAATAGGTGGAACATTGTATACAAGATTTTTTATATAGCTCGCAACAAAGAAGTCCATTACGGTGAGGTCTGGACACCTACGTGGCCACTGACATGCACCATTCCTACTTATCCATTTATTACTAAATTTTCGATTTAAATAATTTCTCACTGAATATGAAAAATTTGCAGGTGCGCCATCTAATTGCATCCTCATTTTTCTCAATATATTTAAAGAGACGTCATCAAGAAGAACCCAAACCAATTCAGTAAAGACCTCGATAAAGACACGTGGATACATCTTACAAAAAAAATCGATAAAAAACGAAACGGCACAAATATCTCCAATACCGTTAGAGATAGGTATAGGGAACCTATACACAGTTTGAAAGAGTTTTAAATTTCCCAACTCCCAAAGTAAAAATATACTGGGTGTTCCATTTAAAATAACCAAGTTATTGCTGTTTAAAGTTGAGAGAAGTATTCAGCAGTTTTTTGAACACCCTGTATAATACTAAGTGACGACAAATATAACAATTTATAACTTCAAGGATCTAAAATAGACCCTCCAAAGCTGCTTCCTTAAAATTATTTTTTTATTGCTAATATTAAATTTCTACGCTATGCCTGCATTTTCACTAAAATTTAAATATTTCACAAACTGTAAGTCCTAGGTATGCAGAACCTTTAATAAAGTCCCTATTTTTTACGGTGCTTTCAAAAATGCAGTAAAATACAGGGTGTGCCATTAAAAAAAACATAACTTTGATATGATACGCTTTTCCTGGACACCCTGTATATTTCAAAATATTTTTTAAATGTAGCCGTAATCAACCTACACATACCCACCTAAACAGGTTTCTGTAACATTTGCCGTTTGGCCACTAGCGACCGAGGCGTTACTGGTGGCCCACCCTGTATAGTGATAAACAGAAAGCTTTATTTTGTACTGTATGTTTAGCTTTTGCTAATGTATTTGGTAATGTCTTTACACTTGGTATGTCTGATTGGAATTACACTTACCAACGAGTAGAGGAACACGAAATTTCCTCAACTCCCGGAAAAAGTTCGAAACCATATATTTTGTACAGTCAAAACAGATCTATTGATAAATTATTAATTTTCTGTATAGTTAGATTTAAAAAATAAACTAGTTATGAAAAAGCGTCAATTTTTTAACTTAAAAGTAAATGTCTTAAAAGTATTTGGTAAAATAGGTCTATGTTAAAGACGAAATGAAAATGAAGCAGCATATTCTTTATTACACAAGTCTCTTGATCATGGAACTTTTCTGGAAATGATTTTGCTTCTTGCCAAATATGATATAATATTAAAAGAACATATTGATAGCATTGCCCAATAAGCTCCAAGATAAGGAACATAAGAGAAGAGCTGGATTTTTTTAAATTCTATTATCCAAAACAACACTAAATTCTGTAATAGATATAATAAAAGGAATGCTAAAAGAATAGGGTCAAATTATAAATTATATTTAACGAAATTAATTTAAAAAAATTCAAATCTATTTTTTTATGTAAACTGATGCTATTAACCTAGAAATGTGTGAATAATTACACTGCTATCCCTTGTCATGACACCACAAGCCAAGGTTTTTTGATCTCCCACTTAAAGACCTGCAAACAAACAATCTAGAATAACTGCGTTGGCCAATCTGCAAGGCGAATATAAAGGCTTCTTATCTAAACTTAGAGAGAAAGACCCAAACTATGTCCATATTTGGAGTTACAACCATATTTTGAACTTAGTTTTAACCGACATTTTAAAAGGTTATATAAAAGCAACTTCCTTTGGTTTGTTAAATTCAGTAGCAGTTTTTTAGATAATCGCATCAACGCATGAACATTTGGGATGCAGTCTTAAACGATCAGAAAAAACAATTAAGGAGGCGCAGGATCTTTCTTATACATTAAAGCTTTAGAAGACTATCGAAAGTAGTCCAAATATAAACGACGATGTTAGGGGACAGGCTTATAATTTTAAAAGCGGCCTTCCTATGTAAAACATTTTACATAAAAATTTTATTATTTTGTTCTTTGATTAGTGAGGACGATTAAATCTTTTGATATTAAATTAATTAAATTATAGAATACCTTTTTTGTATATTTTTAAAACATTTAGCAATATTTTACAATAATATTTTGATAATACTGTACCTAGTAACATATAAAATATTGGAAACGTGTTTTCAACCATTTAAAAACATTTTAAAAATATTGCGTGCTTTAAGAGTATCTATCTACACTGACAAATGAAATACGGTATAATGCATTCTTGAACAACTTATTATTATTTTAATTTGTAGACCTATACCTTGAAATATTTGCGTTTCCTGACCAATATAAACCAACCAATATAAACTTTTCTGCTTATTTTACCTGAGGGATGTCTCCTCAAAATTTATGCACTTCTTCATATACACCCAGTATATTGTAATTTGTATTTAATGTTTTTATATTTCTACAATCAACGATTTATATTATTTATAGATCAAGAATTCTATAAAAAAATATTAGAAAATAAAAATGTTCACAATTACTACGTAACAATAACGATAAAGGAACAGATACTTTACCATATTGTCTAATTCAGATGGAAAATCATTGATTTGTTGAAATAGATGTACCAAAATTTCGTAAATTGGGTATTTATCTTGAACATTATCATTTTCTCTGCAATTAAAAATGGTTTGCGTGATTTCTTTAATATTTCCATATTCCCAAAGTTTACCAAGTTTCTCACAGCATTCAATTATTTTCTTCTCTATCCTAAAAATAAATTCGTTTAAAAAATTTGAAGCGGTGCACTAAAATCTATTTTTCTCTTTATAATATAATATCTCTATGCCTCTTTCCAATCGCATAGATTAGCTTAGAAGTTGGATACTTATGCGGTAAAAAGAGCGATATATTATTATTTATAGTGGTTTTAAGGATTTCACGGACCATACTAATATTTAAAGTACGATGGCTTTTAGCCTGTGTCGGCAGCAGTTACAGAATTACCTTTCTCTTCCTTAACTTTAGCTAGGAAACCTTGACTTGTCCTTGGACAGGACTCTGTGGAAGCAGACCCGCTATTAGAACGCCCAGGCCAACCCATATGAACATTTCGGTTCTTAATAAACGATACAGACGGAATCGTTCTTCAACCACTGATCCCTTGAAATGTTTTATAGTTGCCTTTACGAGTAACAACATCCAATGCTTCCAAACGTTTCGCCGTTCTTTACTGTAGGCATCTTCAATGGCGACCCTGCATTTAATTCGCCACAACTGATGACTCAATCACGGAAGATCATCAGTGTCTGAGGAACGGTTCCGTCCATAGCGGCCATAGAGCCAAAAGGAACCGAAATGAACATCAGAGGAGCCTAGATGTTCTATATTGGGTTCGCCCCAACTAACAGAGTTTAGTCCGATAACAACAAGAGCAGGTCAAAGTTTTCTAGCTAGAGCTGAGGAAGTGAAAGGTAATTCTGTAATTGGCGGCGATCAGGTAACAGCATAACCTGAGAAACCATCGTACCTTAAATATTATTTGGTAGGTCACATTTACGCCCAGAAACGACTTACATTGGTAAATTTATTTAAAAGTTCATACTACAAGGTTCGCCAATGAAACGGGATGATTAGAGGTGGGGTTTGCAGGGCGCGGCGAAGGGATTAAAGTCGCCGGCTCCCTATCATCTGCACGAATTACCATTTGATTTACAATGGAGCATTGGACGGGTGGGCAACGCGGCTACGCAGTAAAAGCCTATTATATTATTAAAATGGCGAGAGTTTAGTGCAAACACGTCGTGACTTTCGACGGGATTCCAATATACCGCGGAACCAACCAGTTCCGTCAGATAACGCGATTAAAAACTGGGTAAACAACCTCGAGCAAACTGGATCGACGTCTAAAAAAAGAGGTGATAGTGCGAAAACTGTTCGAACACCTGAAAATATCGAACGTGTTCGACAAACGATGTTGAGAAGTCCACGCCGATCGGCCATCCGTCACGCCACACGCCTTCATATAAGTGACATATCGATGCAAAGGATTCTTCATCAAGATCTTCGATATCGCCCTTATAAAATGCAGGTTGTGCAATCTCTTAATCCAGGTGATTATCCTCAACGTTTCCGATTTTGTGAGGTTATGCTTCCCAGACTAGAATAAAATGACGACCATGTTAACAACCTGTGGATGAGTGATGAGGCGCACTCCCACCTCTCCGGTTTTGTTAATAAACAAAACTTCAGATACTGGGCAGGGGAAAACCCTCGTTTGCTTCATGAAACACCTCTTCATGCTCAGAAAATAACAATATGGTGTGCGATTTCGGCAAATGGTATCATCGGTCCATATTCTTTTGAAGATGAGGCTAAAAATGACGTTACCGTTAATTCTGAGCGATACGTTGCAATGATTCAGAACTTCCTTACACCATAACTTGACCGCTTTCCAGTGAATGAGAACACACTTTTCCAACAGGACGGAGCAACAAGCCACACTCCAAGAATTTCAATGAATGCGTGAATGCTTTGTTCCCAGGGCGTATCGTTTCTCGAGACGGGGATATCAGTTGGCCCCCTCGGTCGCCCGACCTAACTGTTTGCGACTTCTTTTTGTGGGGATACCTAAAAACAAAAGTGTTTGAAAATGATCTATCCTGGACAATCCCAGACCTCAAACAACGGACTCGTGACGAGATTGCAGCAATACCTGTCAATATACTGCGAACAGTTATGCAACACTTTCAGGCTCGACTCCAGGAATGCATAAATGTTAACGGAGGACATTTGGCGGATGTAGTATTCAAAAAATATTTTTTTTTGACATTGTAAATCAAATGGCTACTCTCTTATTTTCTATTAATGTATTAAAATTATTAAAAATATAATTCTTTGACAATAAAATTATTTACGAAATCTTGACGAACCCTGTATAAAGGGCGAACGGCAGCTCTTGTAGCGGAGGCAAAGGGAAGTGAATCAGTTCTATTTTTTTTATTTCAACTTATATAATCACCAGTCTGAAACATTATAGGTATGATTAAAATAGTGAATAGGCGCTAACCTGCAAATAAAATTATTCCTATAACAGTTTCCTCGCCCTTTTGATAGGGATTGGAGAAAAAATGCACATAATAAAAATTGATATATACAGGGTGTTTCAGAAAAATCTCGCCAAATACGGTCTAAATATGTTTTGGATATTTCATAGAGGCCGCTATTCCTATTACATTTTAAGTTCAAATTTTTTAAGCTTCGGTTTTTTACCATTCGGGCCATTTCTAATGTACAATTTTATTTTCTAAAAATAATGTACTCTTGTTAGAACTTCCTAATGTTTTTTCGAGAAAAACGGCATTTAATTAAACTCTTATAATATTACGGTGTTTAAAATAAGTGACTTTTCTCAAAGTAGGCCTATGTCAAAACTTATTGATGGATAAACAACGCATACATTCTTAGTAATATTTTAAACTCTAATTAAGTTAATTAAAGTATATTAAGTATTACTAAGTATATATA